TATGAGTGAATTAGAATGCTTCTACTCTAATCTTTACAAAGAGAATAATGGTCATTCATCATCATTTCTAGAAGACTTAAAGGAAGTTCCTACCTTGACTGAAGAGTTGCGAATGGTATGTGAAGGAAAGATAGAATATAATGAATGTTTTAATGTTTTACAATCCTTTCCAAAAAATAAAACGCCTGGGAACGATGGACTAACAATAGAATTCTATGTGGCTTTTTGGTCTTTGATTGGGAAACCTCTAGTAGACTGCATCAATTACTCTTATGAGTTTGGAGAACTTTCAAACTCGCAAAAACAGGCTATAATCACATTAATTGAAAAAAAAGGAAAGGATAAACGGGTAATTAAAAATTGGCGACCTATATCGCTAATCAACGTTGATGCGAAAATTATTTCTAAAGTTTTAGCGAAGCGCCTGGAAAAGGTCTTGCCAAATTTAATACATCCCAGTCAGAATGCATTTGTTAAAGGTAGGTCCATATTTGACGCAATTAGAACGATTGATGATATTGTGGATTACACCAAACGGAACAGTTGGTCGGGATTTTTGATCGCAATTGACTTTGAAAAAGCCTTCGATACACTAGACTTTCGATTTCTAATCAGAACATTACACAAATTTAATTTTGGCCCATCTTTTATTCAGTGGATGCGTGTTCTGTACAAAAATGCATCCAGCTGTGTATTAAATAATGGATTTACGACTGGTCCTTTTCTACTAGGTAGAGGTGTCAGACAGGGGGATCCACTCTCCCCTTACCTCTTCATACTAGCGCTTGAGACCCTAGCTATAAAAATAAGAGAGGACTGCAATGTACAAGGGCTTAAAATTGGAGAAGAAATGATTAAACTGTCTCTATTTGCAGATGATATGACCTGTATATTAAAAGACAAAACATCTTATACAAATCTGTTTCGTATTCTCAACTCTTTTGGAGAGTGTTCCGGCCTAAAGGTGAATGATGAAAAAACAGAAATCATGCCTCTAGGAGATAATATCCTACAGGAGAAAGACTTCCCAATTCATAGTATTTGTGAAATCATAAAAATCTTGGGGATATATTTTGGTTATGATGATAGACAAAGGAACAACCTTAACTTTAGTCAAACTTTAAAAAGTATAAAGGAATCAATCAACGTATGGAAATGGAGAGAGCTCTCCCTTTTAGGAAGAATACAGATAGTCAAAACTTTCGCTATCCCAAAGCTTATGTTCAGAGCTTCGGTTATACCAGTCTCTAAAGAACTAATTAAAGAGGCAAACTCAGTTCTCTACAACTTTATTTGGAATGGGAAAGACAAAGTGAAGCGCCTTGCATTGATATCTGATATAGAAATGGGTGGACTCAAAATGTTGGACATTCAATCTATGATTTGCGCTAAACGAATAACATGTTTAAAGAAGATATTAGAGGATTACTCAAGTCCTTGGAAAGTAATCCTAGACAAACTTCTGTTACCAGTCGGAGGATGTTTTGTATTGCACTGCAACTTTCAAACTTCTAAATTGAAAATCAATCTACCAGCATATTATAAGGAATGTTTCGATGCGTGGTCGGAGGTTAATGGGAAGACTCCAAGTTGTTACGAGGAAATCATTAACGAAATTATCTGGAACAACAAATTTCTTTGTTATGACAAAAAATCGATGTACAGAAGAGATATAGTAAATTTAGGCGTCATAAAGATTAAGGATTTAATTTCTGCGAACAACTCCTTCTCGTGCGACTTCTCTTCACTTACAAATCCTGAACAAAGATTTTTTCTTATGAGTATTATCAATTCGATTCCCGCAGAATGGCGCTCACTTATTAAAGCATCTACAAACGTAACATCAGCTAATCCCATACCGATTACCCCAACTATTAAGTTGCCGAGTGGTAATGTAGTGCCAATCCTTGATATCTCTCCTAAACAGATTTATCAAACCTTTCTGCAGCAAAAGCAAATTGCGCCCACCGCAAAACAGAAATTATCGAACAAGTACTCAAATATAGATATTGATTGGGAAAAGGCTTACACTTTGGCCTTTCATTGCACTTTGGACACAAAGATCAGGGAATTTCATTACAAAATTTTGAATTGTATACTCTTTACAAACGTGAAACTTAATTTAATTGGTGTAGTGGAATCGCCAAACTGCACTTTCTGTCAAGAAGCAGCGGAATCTGTCGAGCATTTACTCTTCTCCTGCAGGATATCTTCTGAGTTTTGGAAGCATGTCTTGTCCTGGCTTAGAGATAATGATGTTCATGTTGAGACAATTAATGAGTCTGATGTGATATTTGGAAAATTTGATATTGTAGACGACTATATTCTAATTAATCATGTTTTGTTATTAGCTAAATATTACGTCTACTGTAGGAGATGTCATAATAGCGTACCTTCAATTAGAGGTTTTATTGCTAGGGCAAGACGTGTCTTCAATATTGAGCTCCATATCGCCAGGGAGAAAAATAAACTTCTTTTTCATTATCAAAAGTGGGAGAAGCTAACTTATGTACTTTGTATTAGTTGATACACGTAGGTTCGTTAAAATTAGTAGGCATCTTTATTGTTATCGTGGTTGTTGTAATATATATATATAATTTCGTTGTTATTGTTATCCTTTTCTTTTTCTTTTTTTTTTTTTTTTTTTTTTTTTTTTTTTTAAGTAGAATTGTATATTTATTTAATTAATGTTTATTCTTAACTAACATTGTAAAACTCGTTTTTAATTCAATAAAAAATTTAGCAAAAAAAAAAAAAAAAAAAAATGATATTGTTCCCTTGATCTTGTTACACTTGCATCAAAGGCAGAATCACTCTGGAGTAGAGCACATCCTTCCTGAGTTGCGGCAACGGTTTGGGATCAAAGTGAGATCTGCCCTCAAGAAAATCTCCAAGTCGTGCCATGTTTGCATAAAACACAACGCCAAACCAGATCCACCACTGATGGCAAGCCTGCCCCAAAGCAGACTTCAAGCTTTCACCCCACCCTTTTACAACACTGGTGTGGATTATTTTGGCCCGCTGTTAGTCAGAGAGAAGATCAACTGTAAAGCGCTATGGTTGCCTGTTCACCTGCCTTGTGACAAGAGCAGTACACCTAGAAATTGCACACTCACTCGAGACTATGACTATGGCTATGTTGCCGACTGCGCTTTAGCCAGCGGACTCTGCCAAAACAGGACTTAGTCCCCCAGGGACTAGAGACTCGAGCATGTGCTCGCGAGATCCGCCATCTTGTTGTGTTATTGTGTAGTTAAAATCTAGTTAAAATCTTTGTCGTTCTCGCTCGTTGCCCAAGTTTTATTTTGTTTGGATAACCTCCGCCACACCGGATTATCCCTTTCTTTCCACATACTTGGTCACGGCTGTGATATATAGTCAATAAATTCGCGACCTTTCTCTACACTGTTGACTAAATATGCTGCATAATGACCACCGAGAGCAGAATTGAAAATTAAATACGCTGCGCGGGTTGGCTGAGTATTTTTGAAAAAATTCGAGGCGCTTAGAAACGTTATGAAACACTGTCTCGAGTATTTAACATATCTTCTCAGTCAAACTAAGATGTAAATGGGAAACAAATTCAGTGTACACATCGGTATATATTCTCAAGCTTCACGCATTTATTTCGGTCAGATTTTCCCTCAGGGATTTCTCATGGTAAGATCTCCACTTATTCAAAATTAGTCTGAATTTGACCCTTTTTCGCGTATCTAATCAAATTGTACGATATGGGTGTCGTTAAAGTCTCGCTGATGGCTTGTTTCGAACTCAAATATTTATAAATGTCGGTTTGATACATTATGAAGACATTTTATACGTAACAGTGGTCTTTGTTTTGTGAAGACTGGATTGTTAGCTATTGTTGAATTGATCTTCAAAGTTGTGTTAAATGTAACTCTTGGCAATCGCCGTCATGGGCCTTCACTCGATTGAGAACCGACAAACCACTAAAACACGAAAAGTCGGATTGTTGTTTTATTATAAGTAGATCAATGTTTTGCAAAACACAGGAAATAAGCGAAACCTGTTTTCAAGCCAGAGCGAGCTGACCGCTTCTACAGACAACAATTTGCATATTAATGAGTATTTTCTCTTTTGGGGTGACCTTTGTTTTTGTTGGAATGTAGCTGTCTACACTTGCTGCTTTCAAAGATTACCATTAGTTCTAAAGACTATACTTGCTGCTTTCAAAGATTACCATTAGTTCTGTAATTAATATCGCCTAACGTGTGACTTTATCCCAATTTGTTCTGGAAAAGTGAATATACTGAGCGACAGTACAATGCAAAGACGGTTCAGACGGTTTAAGAGATTAAAAAAAAAAGAAAGAAAGCAGGACTGAATAAAACTATAGCGACATTGTCAATTAAGAGGGTCTAATGGGGTTTTACTGATAGCTGAGAATGGGTTAAAATTTTAACTGTCAGCTGAGAAATGACACGGTTTTTTTTGTTACTAATAGCTCAGATCTGAGGTCTGCAAAATTTACTAACAGCTGAGAAATTAGCGGAAATTCTAACTGCCAACTCAGATTCCAGCAGCCCCATTCAAACTCTCAAACAAAAATTGATCCAGATTTTTTCTTTTCTGTTGTTAGCTGAATTATTATTTCTGAACCTGATAAGCGCATACAAAATAACCAACCAGTTTCCACGAATTCGTAGAATTACACCTTTGACCTAATAATTTGTCTAGCCATTGATCTCCGGATTATCATTTTCTTTCCATGTACTTGGTCACGACTGTGGTATTTAATAAGCCAAGAACTGAACTGAAAATACGCCGCGTGGCGTGGCAGAGTATTTTTGACAAAACTCGAGGCGCTTAGAAATGTGGTGAAACGCAGTCTCGAGCATTTGATATATCCCCTCAGTCAAAACTAAAACTAATACGTAAACAGGGAAACAAATTCATGCGAATCGTTCCTACGTTACAGGTCATTAGAAATGATTTAGTCATATTTCCTATGCAGGAATTTTTTTACGGTAAGATCTCACGGCTGCATAAATTCGTTTCTCTTGGTTTTAAAAGATTTTGTCTGTCCTGTAATGCAGGAAATGTTTTCTGGGTTGCTCGCTGTGCACGACTTTTAGCGCAACTTTCCTTTGCACGTATACTTTTTGAGTGTTCTTCCCCCCCACCCCGCCCCCAACTAATTTTAATATTATATCCCTATACAATATATTAGTTTACTTATTGCCATTCAAGATTAAGAGCCAGTTTTCAAAGTTTTAAATTTTGAACTAAACTTTAAATATGTCATACATTGTATTGCCGCGCATAGAAGCGTTTCGATCGAATAGAAACTTTGACGTCAACGCTAGGCGTATTCAAAACATAATAACTATTTTCAAAATGATGATTTCGAAAGAAATGTCAGAATTCATGCTTACATAGACTGTTGTGCCTCTTATAACATCGTTTTATGCCAGTGGAAACAAAATTTGTTTTGCATGTTGATGTTTGTTTTCAATCTTACATGTTGGATATTTTACAACACCCAATCCAAGAGTTGTAGCTTTTCTCGGTATTTTTCCTCTGTGACCGCTTGCTACGAGGGACATGAACGGGTGGGTAAGATCAAACAAATCTCTGTGAATTGCCCAGCCGACAAGCAGATATTCATTTCCACAATTTAATTCATTGAAGTAAACAAGACTTAAAAAGTTGCACGTTACGATGATAATGGTAACTTTAAACCTTAAGTGAAGTCACTGGTTGAGCAGAAGATTTAAGAAAAACCTTCACAGTATTAATAGTAAAAACGCTAACCATAATTGTCCCTAGCAACAACTTTATAAGCTGTCTGCAGTCTAATCCAAGTCATAACTAAGCAATCAGGTCTTTCAGTGTCTAGCGCGAATCGCTACTGATTTACGTGACAAATTAAACTGTTTCAGGCAGGGTAAAACCTTTTTCAATAAGCACACTGGTACTATTATGGTTAAGTGCTTCCTACAGAGTTTGCTTTATTTGCTCGAGATTCACCAGATTGGCGATTTTCCTTGCAAAATCAACGGCCGACAAGACAATCAAGGCAATCTTTGCTATCAGCGCTGCACCATCAGTAGCCAAAGCGGCAATGATCATGGCGGTCACCTTAGCAGAAGTCTCAAGCCAGTCGTACCATTTCATCTCTTTGCACAAGCTCTTGATGATGGTCCACAGGATTCCAGCTGCGTAGCTTTCCTTAAGGAGGACGAAGATGGCCTTAGCCTTATTTAATGCATTGCCTCCAGCTGCGTCCCATGAAGATATGAACTTCGCAATCGCCCTCTGTAACGCTGAAGACCTCTCAATTGCGTTTACAGTGTCTTCAACTGTGGCCTGCATGGTACTCTCGCTCGGAGACACCTCTAACCCTACTGCGCTCATGACGAGAAGTATAGCCTCAACTAGAATACTGGCTTCCTGTAGGATGCTTGCCGACTCGATGTTTGCAACTGTTTTAAGCTCTTTTCCAGGCAGGAATTCCTTGCCTCCCCTTGTCGTCTGCACCAAATATTCGCCGTCGCTCTTCTGGGTTATTTCCATGCGAAATGTTGGGATGCTGAGCGCTTTTTCTATTAACTTGATCCGGTCCTCAGGTAAGTACTTGGCAAGCCTTTCGCGGATGTCTTGGGCAGGTCGAGAACTGAACTCATGGGCGAGTTTAACTTCCTCGGTGGCTGCTGCTCTGGCTGCTTCAGTAACAGCATCTCTCACTTTCGGATCGGCGTCCATCTTAGAAAACTCTTCGGGAGCGTTCTTCTGGATTTGCTCCAAGGCCCCTTTAACTGCTTTTGAAACGGTTTCGTTTTCATCCGCCATTTCTAAGATTACCTGTAACTAAGGAAGCAGAGAAACATCGTGTAACTTCGGGTCAACGTTTCGCATTGCGTTACCCATATTTTGGCTCTTTTGGTTAATTCGCTATACAATATATTTAACTAAACGAAAATACTGTACCTGAAGGAACAAAGCTGGAAAAGAATGTTTTTGCTTGGGCAGATCCGAGAGCTTAGGTCTATATTACACTCTTCTCCTAAACAGTATGTATCCGTATTTTTTGATTCAATCAAATTCATTCCGGACAACCTACCTAAACCTACTTTATACTGAGCAATACATTTTCGATTCATTTATCGGCTTATTTTTGGTATGTCTAGGAGAAACAAAATTTCACTTCTTTCACATCTCGTGCAATTAGATTCTGCAACTCGTCCATTACTTTTCGAGTAAAAAGGCGGAAGTCATCAAGTGACTATCGCCATATTGGAAAGCATCGTGATCAGACCACCATAATTCCCAATTGTAATAGACAGTCTACTTACCAAACCGTTCAGCTTCACACTTGGCACTTTATTGCGAAGGAAAAGAGTGAAGTATGCCTCTGGTTTCCTGAACCTATATAGGATTATAAATTCCGAAATCACGAGGTCTCCTCGTGCCCGCACTCAATCAACACCCATTCTTGATTTTGGCACTTCGTCAAATCACCTGATTTCTTGAGACAAAAAAATAGATAGCTTGCCAAAAGGGTTCCAAAGCCACTTAATATTACGACATCGCCAAATCACCTGATTTTCTTGGAATTGAAAAGACATCGGCTCACGGTGTTTTGCGACTCACTAATCCTCCCAGAGACGAAGAAAAGTGTGTAAAGTGCATATTCCCACACTCATTTTGGCCAATTTTGGGCAATGTAAAGGGGATAATTGACGCGTTTTTGTGGTTGAATCTGCAGAACTCAATGATTTACACTACCTTTTGAGGGTTTCAAGAGGCGAAATGGGCGACCTCCCGGATTTCAGCCTTAATTTTAGTTTGGAATCTCTGCCATTGTTGATTTTTTTTTTGTAGGGGTGTGCCGCTGAGGCCCTCAGAGAAGAATCATTTATTTCGCTACCCTGTATACATGTATGTCAAGAAACCATTTTTCATAATTCTTGCTCATTTCATTTCGCATACAAAATTACGTCTTTTAAAATTAACACCGAAATTTCTATTTGAACGATTTTTTTTTAAGAAAATTTTTTTTGTTGTTTTTTTTGGTTGTTTGTTTCTTAATATATTTATTGATAATCATATTAAATAATTACATTTACAATACTACAAAAAAAAATACTTTAACAATAGACATTAACAGAGTAAAGCAAAATTAATTGTTAAATTATTACAGGGCTAAAAGAAATTATAAAAAAGTACAACAGGGCAATGAAATAATACGGAGTTAATACAGTTAACTTAAATAAGGCGTCAGAATCCACTTTCTTTTAAAGAATTCTTTGTTGCTGATTTTTTCTTCTTTTTCATATTTAGCGATGGTCTTGGCTCTAAATCCATAAATGTTTGGAAGGATTTGTTTGCTCCTAAAGTTCCACAAATAGAGTTTTCCATTAATAATAAAATAGTTCAGCAATTGAAGTAAAGGGCAAGCATTTTCCGCCAAAATTCCAAAGAGCACATTTTCCAAGCAGAGACGTACTCGTTGATTCGAAATAAGGCACCAATATAGTTCAAATTCAATCCAAAACTGTTTAGAGCGTGAGCCATTGTTGATTTTGGCACGCCTTTAGATCACCTGATTTTCTTAGAACTAAAAAGATATTAAACTTGCCAAAAGAGTCCCGCAGCTATTCAAATAACCATGCATTGTTGAGTTTGCTATATCGTCAAATCACCTGATTTTCTTGGAACTGAAATGATAACTTACCAAATTGATCCACAGCCATAAATACCCATTGTTGGTTTTGGCACATCATCAAATTGCCTTATTTTCTTGGAACTGAAAAGATAACTTACCAAAAGAGTTCGGCAGTTACCGCGAAGAAGTCCTATTCAAGGCGAGGAAGTTGTTAAAAGACAAGACTTTCAGTGTTTTCGAAGACATGCCAAAAGAACTTTATGAATTAAGAAAAGCACAACTAAAAAAACTGCAGAATGCGAAAGAGAGAGGTGACACAAAGTACTTTAGTAAAAAATATCCAGATAAGCTTTTCATAAACGGTAAATTCATCCCGTTAAAATAACTTTTACTTTCCCTAATATGCCAATATGCCAAATTACGATACGTTCTATATTATTATTTCGTCTTTTCTATTTTTCTCTCACCTCCTATTTAATTTTGTAATCAGCATAAAGACATCCGTTTTAGTAAATGAAAAAGCAAAGCTAAAGCCAAAACAGCTGTATTCAGTACTCAGATAAATGGCGGTCGCCCTAAAAGATAATTGATCCAAAACGGAAAAGGAATCGGCAGTCGTTAACCACACATCCCTGGAGGAGGATTATGTCTTTGCATCTGTATTTTGTACTTGTATCTGTTTGCTTATGTTTGTTTGTTTGTCTTTTGTGTCAATGCCTATTTGTAGTTAATATACCATTATGCTTTATACATAAGAGTTCTCGTCCTTTCTTAATTAATAGCGTTAGAACTACACAACACTGGATTGTCCGTGGTTCCTTCTGCACTCCAAGCACTACACATTTAAGGTTAAAACTTCGCTTTAACTGTTAATTTGAAATTAGTTTCTTTAAACGTAGCAGGCATTAGCAAATTTACTGAACGACGTGCAATTTATACATGGTGTCGTAAACAGAAGGCTGATTTTGTATTTTTGCAAGAACGCATTCAAAGAAGGAGACAGAGGTGCAGTGGAAAAATGAATGGGGTGGCGAAATACTTTTCTCACATGGAAGCCCTAATTCATGCGGTACTGCAATATTGATCAGAAACAATACCAATTATACAGTTCTATCGACAACTCGAGATCCCCAGGGTCGTTTTATTATACTAAAAATCCAAATCGATGACAAAGTATATGTTCTTGTAAATATCTATGCACCGAACAAAGATAAGGATCTAATTCAGTTTTTAGAAAATTACATGGCCTGCTTCAAATAGAAGACTTAGACTCAGAGGAAAACATTATATTAGGGGGTGATTTTAATTGTCCATTAAATTTAGCTCTTGATAAACACGTTGGTGTCATGATTCCCAGAAGAGCAGCAATTGATAGTATTGAATCTTTACAAAGCGAACTGGACTTAGTTGATATTTGGAGAATTAAGAACCCCCAAACAAGAAGTTACACTTGGAGTCAAAAATCCCCAACAGTTCTATGTCGACTAGATTTTTGGCTTATCTCTAACAATCTCTGTGATTTTATAAACGCTACTGAAATACAGCCTGCAATACGCACAGATCATGCTGCAATAACCTTAGTTCTAGGAGACATTGGAGAGATAAAAGGTCCTGGTATATGGAAAATGAATGTTTCGCTCTTAGAGGATGAAAACTACCTAGAACAGTTACGAATTAATATACCCAAATGGAAACAAGAAGGTGAAATTGATCTGTCTGACAAACGCTGCGTTTGGGACTGGATCAAATACAATATTAGATTGCACGCCATTAGCTACTCCAAAAAAAAAGCCAAACTTAAATATGAGAAAGAGCAGCGGATTCAACAAGAACTTTTAAGTTCTTGTTGAAAAAGATGCTAACAGGCTGTTTGAAAATGACCCTGGTGCCTCAAATAGATTGCGATTAGATGAAATCAAAGAAAAATTAGAACTTTTATTTGAGGAAAAAGTAAAAGGAATCGTCATACGGGCAAGAGCACGTTGGCATGAGTATGGTGAAAGGAGTACTACACCTTTTGCTGTTCATTACGAGAAAATACGCATTCATTTGCGTGAAAAGGCGCCCAACAGCGCGAAGATACATTCATTAGCGCGAAAAAGCAAACATTTGCGCATAAATCAGATTCAATTACGATTTTTTGCATTTTAATCAACATTCAATAACATTTTTAGGCATTCATTTCCGTCATTCGACATACAAAAGAGAAAAATATACTTTGATTAACGCCAACATTCGAGTCATTAACATTATCTTGAGAATCATTAAGGACAATAGACAAGCATTTAAGTGCAAACGCTATCATTAACATTTTTATGACACTGTTTGCAGTTCAACAGCATTCCTGGACAGCTTTAGAATGGATAAGACAAACATTAATGCGCTCGTACAATCAACTGAGCGTTCTTTACATTTAATATACAAAAATCTTTTTTCAATTAAACAATGCCAATTCCCCCCCCCCCCCAAAAATTGGCCTGAATTTGTTTAAAGACTCACGCCGTACTTCTTCACTGCGTGTTCGTCGACGGCTGCGGCTATACATTTACCGTAGACGGCCAGAAGTCATGGTGGGGCGTGACAGGGAGTGGAGGGCGTACCGCTAAGTGTCCGCCAACGAGGACGAAACTTAACTATGCATGACCATGGCAATATCACCTATCAAATGTTTTCCTCAGCAGCTCCTGGAGTAATGAATACCGTGTCGTTTTTTTTTTTTTTTTCTGGCAGGGAGAGGAAAGAAATGGATCCCGAAATATGTCAAAGCCTTTCAATTTAAAATACTTAATTCTATACTTTTTACCAACTCAAAGTTGTTCAAGATTGGGTACAGGACAGACAGCTTGTGCTCTTTTTGCAAAAGGGAATCAGAAACTATTAGACATTTCTTTTGGGACTGCCCTTATTCGAATTCGTTCTGGAAATGTATTGAATCATACTATTTTGGGTTGCGAAAACAACTAGTTCACCTAACATTAAAGGAAATTTGGATCGGCTTTTTATCTTCTGAATGCCCCTTGCTTAATTATCTTATACTTATAGGGAAAATATATTTATGGCGTTGCAGAAGGAATGAACTGCTCCCAACCATAAACAGTTTTATAGTTAGAATAAACGCTAAATATGAAATAGAAAAATATACTTGCCTTAAGAATAAGAATTTACAAAAATTAATGGACAAATGGACTTTGTA